AATTTCTTAAAAGACAACACATAATATTTGACTTGGTATTTTTCAACACACTTCTATACAGCTTAAAGGGACATTTAAAGGCTTGACTAAGTTAATTAGGTTAACTAGGCAGGTTAGGGTAATTAGGCAAGTTATTGTATAGTGATGGTTTGTTCTGTAGAGTGTCGAAAAATATATATCTTAAAGGAGCTAATAATTTTGTTCTTAAAATGTTTTTTTTAAATGTTAAAAACTGCATTTATTCTAGCCGAAATAAAACAAAAAATACTTTCATCAGAAGACAAAATATTATCAGACATACTGTGAAAATTTCCTTGCTGTTAAACATCATTTGGGAAATATTTAAAAAACGGAAAAAAAAATTCAAAGTGGGGGCTAATCATTCGGACTTGAACTGTGTGAGTGTGTGTGTATATATATATATTTATTATTAGCATATGTGTATGTATTTTGGATTTATATTTCAAGTGTTTTAAATTGTGTTAAGAAAATGGTGCTTAGTAACGTTTAGAGCACTATTCTTTCTAGTCATCTGTCAAATACAGCCTTCTGTGCAGTACAGAAAACAACAAGTGACCGCTGCAAACCCCCCGAGACGCAGATAGACCTCCAGGGAAACTCTAGCTGAGAGATGGAGAGGTGTTTATGGCCCCAGCAGGAGGTCCTCAGGCTGGGCTCCAAACACCCTGGAGCACTAGTGGAGATATCATGCTGTACCAGCCAGCAGATTTATCGAAAATATTAAAGACATACTTTGTCATGTGAATATGGCCCGAAGTATTTCAGCAAAAATTCTGTGTTTGCTCTAGCCTCTCCCAGACATTTATACACTCTAGAAATGCTGGGTTATTTTAATATAATGCTGAATCTACCAACAGTTGGGTTAAAAAATATAATTTGAAGTCAATTTTTAGTAACCTATTTTGAGTGTGTCCATATTTGAAGCGATAGTGGGTTAAAACAATCAATGCAATCCCACAGCAATTAGTATCTTTTTGACTTTGTAGCTATTTTGTATTAACTTGTATAATCTCGTTTGTATATGTTAGTATGATTTGCTGATCCCTCGGTAAGAAGTGGGGGGGGGGGGGGTGTAAACGCAGGTTTATTAAACAGCGAGGGTCAGGCAAGCAACAGTCAGCACAGGGGCAAACAGATGTAAACAGGAAGTCCAGTCATAGTCAATTATCGGGCGAATGGTCAGTACAGGCAGGCAACATAAACAAACAAAACAAAGCGAGGGCCAAAAACAAGGCAAGGCAAGGAAAATGAGTCGTAATATTGACACAACAGTATATCAAGACTCAGCACCTTCTGTGTGTTTGTGTGCTGACTTTATAGTCCATGTAATCAGTCTTTGACAATCCTCCGGCTGTGAGTTTGCAATTAGTCAAGATCAGGAACCGCTGTGTGTGTGTGTGGTGCATGACTAGATCTTGTAGTCTATGAAATGGCGGATTTGTAGTCTGTTAGCGATCCGTGTGTATACCAGTGATCTGCACAGGTTGGATCGCTGGTGACTGTGACAGTGGTAAAGCGACTGGGTGAAGTTTTAACATCGGCATCAATCCTCTTGTCTGTGGAATCCCATGCGAACACGGGAAGAACATACAAACTCCACACAGAAATGCCAATTGACCCAATAAAGGTTTGAACCAGTGACCTTCTTGCTGTGAGGCGATCGTGCTACCCAATGTGCCACCTTGATGCCAAAACAGATATTAGTAAAACAAAATTCAATTGAACTACTGTTACGTAAATGTAAACTAACATCAAGTTCAACTCATTTGTCATTATCATTTAAAGTCTACTTACTACTAAAAGCAACATTTGTGAAGAAATATTGCTTATTATGTACAGGAACCTTGATTTCATCTAAATATTAAGTAAATCTTTCTATTGACATTTATTTGTAGATTATATGTAGTATTTGTTTTGTTGTACATAGTTATTCTGATGTAGGTGGACTTCTGGGTCACATATATTTTAAACTTGGCTGTATTATATTATAACTTTGATTGAAAGATTTTTTTTTTTTTACTTTGATTCACAATATTAAATAAACGATCAGGAAAAAGTCTGTACATTTATCACCCATGGATGATAGTTTCTCCTATATCTACACTACCTGCAAAAAGTCTTGTGGCGTATCCAAGTTTTAGCAACTGCAAAAAAAACCACTTCTAGTTGATCATTTGATATCAGAAGTGGCTTGTATAAAAGGCAAAGGCCTCTAGATAATGCCTAATTTACCAAAATAAAATATGATCATGCCTTGACTTTTCATTATTTAAATAGGACAGTAAGGTCTGACTTTGCTTAGATAAGTGTTGTCACTTAACAGAAATAATGTACAGTATAGAATATAAAGTCATGGTGCAGAGGAAAAAAGAATGAATATTGTGCATGACTCCCATGAGCTTGGAGGACTGCATCCATACATCTCTGCACTGACTGGAATGGCAAAGAAAGTGTTCTTGCAGGACTCCTAGAGTTCATCAAGACTTTTTAAATTCATTTTCAATGCCTCCTCCTTCATCTTACCCCAGACATGCTCAATAATGTTCATGTCTGGTGACTGGGCTGACCAATCCTGGAGCACCTTGACCTTTTTTGCTTTTTAGGAACTTTGAGGCGGAGGCTGATAACACATAAAATTAAGTTAAACATTAAATTTTGATCAATCTTATCACAAGTACACTTCCTGACAATAGTCTTGTGGATGATCCCAGTTGTAAGAGCAACAAATCAGAAATCGACTTCCAGTTGATCAAATGGAAAAGTGGCAGAAGGTAGATTTTTTAGAAGAATCGTCTGTTGAACTGCATCCCAATCATCACAAATACTGCAGAAGGCCAATTAGGACCTGCCTGGACCCAACATTCTTACAGAAATCAGTCAAGTTTGGTGAAGGAAAAATCATGGTTTGGGGTTCAGTATGGGGCGTGCGAGAGATCTGCAGAGTGGATGGCAACATCAACAACCTGATGTATCAAGACATTTGTGCTGCCCATTACATTACAAATCACAGGAGAGGGCAAATTCTTCAGCATGATAGTGCTCCTCATGCTTCAGTCTCCACATTAAAGTTTCTAAAAGCAAAGGTCAAGGTGCTCCAGGATTGGCCAGCCCGTTCACCAGACATGAACTTTATTTAGCATGTCTGGGGTAAGATGCATGATCATATTTTAGTTTGGTAAAATTGTCTTTCATTTAAGCCACTTCTGATACCAAATGATCAACTAACTCAAGTTATTATTTGCTGTTCCTAAAACTTGGGTAAGCGACGAGACTTTTTGTCAGGTAGTGTATGTTCAGTCCACTTAAAGTTTTCAAAACTAATAAGTTAGCCTTGTTCCTTCATGTTATACCAAAACAAATTGATTATGTGGAACCCAGCATTTTTTACAGTGAGTATAGTGAAATGTCTCAGCAGCTTCTGGTTCACAAGGATTTTATCATTAGTGATATTACCTGATCATTAGTGATTTATAAATTGCAAGTCAGCAGCAATAATCAATTTAAAAGTCAAAACCCCACATATACAGGCAAAACCAAATTAAGGTCTGTGGATCATGAAGTGAAATGAAACTTTATTAGATTTACAATTACTACATTAAATCTACATCCACATGCAGCAAGTTATTATTCCTCTTGATCTACATTTTATGACTGATCAACACTTAAAATACTTCTTTCACCAGCATGGACAATGCCCCACTTTAAGCTAGACTTTATTGTATAGGGATGAAAGGGATGGTAAGGGAACAGCGGGGAAAAAGGGGATAAACAGTGAACAGGTAGGTAGGTTGATCGGGCGTCCTAAGATGATGCCCAGAGACTTAGAGTGGGGGTAACATCTCTGTAATATTTTTGAGTGATGGGACACCCCTGTTAAACCTAGGAGTGAAGAGAGGGTTATAGGATTGTTAATGGGAAGTGAGGAAATAAAGGGGGTAGAGGGGGTTTGAGAGAATGAGAAGAACAGTGCTCAAGAGCTGGTCTGCCTTAATTAAGTTTTTAGGGAGTAGATGATTGATAATTTTTTGTTTAACAAGGTAACTCCATTTAATGTTCTATAAAAGTTTCCTACACTCAAAAAAAAAATGCTGCTTGTTCAAGCTACTTATTTAAAATGAACTGAAACAACACAATTTTGGAGATTTTTGGTGTAGAAGAACTCATTTGTTTTATGTTCAATCAACTTAAATTAGTTATGTTGATTTAATGCATTTGTGTTTGGCAACATGAATGAATTGTGTGGAACCCTGGATTTTTTAATGTGTGCATATTGGAGCAAATTGACAACTAAGTACGTTTTTGGTGGACTGTGACTTATAAATAAATAAATAAATAAATAAACATATATATATATATATATATATATATCGGACATTTAAAACGACAGTGGTGCACGCAATATTATCCTTAATTCAGGGTTGTCCAAACTCAGTCCTGGAGGGCCGGTGTCCTGCTTAGCTCTAACACACCTGCCAGGAAGTTTCTAGTATATTTAGTAAGAGCTTGATTAGCTAATTTAGGTGTGTTTGATTACGGTTGGAGCTGAACTTTCGAGGCCACCGGCCCTCCGAGACCGAGTTTGGACAACACTTCGACGCAACAAAGTAGTAATCTTTCTTGATTTGAACACACTAATTATCTGTTTACAGAGCTGTAATGCACAGTAGCACTTGATATTTATTAATTAAAACATTTTTTCTTCAACATATTCTTCAATTTCACAATCCCAGTTAATATTCTCCAGCTAAATTATCTAGAATGTTTGGAGCTGGAAGAAACACACACCCCCAGTCACAGACGCGCGCAGAATTATTTAGCCGAAATCAAGGACCATGAAAGGAGAAAATAGCACCAGCTAATTTCCCCATCTGTGCCGTTCGTTCAGGTTAAGCGGCAGGCAGCAAAAAGAGCGAGCGGGAGAGGAGGTGGTGGTGGCGAAGGGGGAGTATATGGGGGGTAAAAGACTGTCGCTCATACACTCTTTCTCTCTCCATCCTCCTCCTCCTCTTCCCCGTCGGGCGCGCGCAGATCAGCGGAGCAGTGCGCGCGTCACTTGCGAGCGTCTGTAACGATCCCTCCGACACATCAACTCCAGGAGCCGAAACAAGAGTGAGAGACTCATCGAAGAGTGAGAAATCTGAGAGGAAAAGACATATATCGAGCTGTCGGAGAGTATTTAACCATTTTGATTGTGCTGATTTCTCGTTTCCTTTTTTTTTTTTTTTTTTTTGGTTGGTTGGTTTCTCTTTTTTGGGGGGAAACAAGGATAAGCCTACCTTTTCACAACATGCTGATCGGTAAGTCAGTTCAGATAGTGATGTTATTGTATTTGATATATTGTAATAAACAATGTAAATGTGGTAACGTTTGATTTGCGGTAAAAGGATGCCAAAAGTCATCTGCGCACTGAGCGCCGACACGCGCACAGCTTTTCAGTCGAGGTGCTCACTGGTGTTGCTTAATCGATCCAAAATGAGACCGAAAACAACCTAAACTTTCCAAGTAATGCAAGTCAGACGGTGTAGATTTTTCCAGAAGCCAGAAAAGCCAGAAGTGTATGTGTGTGTGTGATGCGCGTGCGACTGTCATCATCATGCGCGTGCCATCAAACGGCCTTCACCGTGTCAGCCGGTTAACTAGAATGACGTGTGGTCCAGTTAACACCTGTGAAAGCCTTATCCCAAATTTGTAAGTCCACAATGAGAGATAGTTTTAATTTTTTTAAACTCATATCCCCGGGTTAATCAGTAGCAGGTGCCGTGATCCTCAAAACACAAGCCTTTTTTTCCTGCGTTGAATTCTGTATAGTGCAAAAGACCGATACAGAGAGAGAGAGAAAAAGAGAGAGAGAATATGAGAGGATGAGAGATGGTGAAGGGAATGGTGTATTTTTGCTGATCTCTCATTATACGGCCGAGCGCATTGGAATGACATTTAAAAAAAAACTTTCGTGCCCTCTCTCTATCTCTTTCTCTCTCGCTTGCCCGGTTATCACCAGAGAAAGACAGTTGTTTAAATCAGCACAGGAATTCATGATTCCTTAAAGCTGAATGAAAACATGTGCAATTTTATTGTAGGCATTTTATGAACAAAGAAAAATAATAATAATACCCATTTGTGCCCCGCATCTGTTTTAAATCATATCAAAACATTAATCAGCACTTGCTTTTTTTATTCACGCCGAAAAAAAATGTTTTTGTTTTCAACAATAATTTATTTTTTTAAAGTCCCGCTTTTTAAAGGACGTCCAGTCTCTGAGAGCACCTGGTGTTCCTCACAAGAGCTAAAAAGCAGCGGAGCGGAAAATTAAAAATGATAAAGGATTGATCCTGTCCGCGCTGAAAATGCTTTATCAATAACGCAGCTCATTTAATAAAATCGTTTGAATTTTCTCTTTCTTTTTTAGCTCGTGAATTTCGTTAGAAATCGAAGCATTTTGTTTATGCATTTCATAAACTGCGCCTTTGCCGTTTGCGTTGCCCTTGTGTCCTAATTTAATTGATGCTTTGTATATGTGATATTTAAAAATATAGCTTCAATTATTTGTATCACATACGTCATTTTTAGCTTTGCTTCTATTTGTATCAGTGCGTTCCAATTAATCTCTTTATGATGTCACTTTCCTATATATTAACACAGGCTGCATTATAGAACATTTATTCTAATCATAATTTCACATTTTACAAACCATCTGATTTTAGCCTGTTCATAAATATACTCTAGACAATATAAAAGGAAGCAGTGAAGATTTAAGTGTCCTTCTCACCTCCTTGCTATCAACTTCTCTTATTATTAGCTGGATACCAATGCTCTGTCCGCTTAGCAACACAAGACAAAAGGACACACAGATGTTACACATCTACACAAAGTTACACTGAAACCGCAAAGCTGTTTAAATAAAGACGTGCAGAATAAACCCAAGGAAATGGAGGAAAGGACAAAAAGAGAAGGGGAAAATAGAGGATTCTGCAGCATAAAATGGCACCAGCGTTCACTCACAGTTAGTCTCAAAATCTGGACATTTACTCGATCACTAGTAAGTGTGCATGTTTGTATGTTAATAATCCATCAACCTAATGTGAATTACCTGCTAATGTGAACCTGAAAAGCTCAGTTATGAGGACAAAGGTCATGTCCTTGACATTCTTTGGCACAGATTTTACCCAACCAAAAAATAAATTACTTTGAATATCACTAACATGACTGGATTGCAATTTACATCAGTGCATTTGGACACTCTTAAGTGGAGTTTGTGGTCTTTGTTACACATCCAAGTGCGTTGCATAAATCAGCAGCTAATTAAAATCTAAGCTTCTGTCCAGAACATTTCTGGTCTGTAATTATGGAGGGGTCTGAATGTCAGTTTGTTCTGCTCTGTTAGCCGAAGTCACACCGTGATCATTGGGTTATATTTTTCTTTTTGATTTTGGGCTGTGTTTTCTCACCCCCCTCTCACTGGTTTCAGTTGTCGTGGCAGCGCTGCAGACGGTGTGTGCTTGTAAGTGTGGGGAATGCGGTAATGCCATCCTTTAAGCGAATGCTCTTTGCCAGCCGCATTTCACCACAGCACTCTCTAGGAAAAGCTTACTGAAAAACACCCTGCAGACAGACATTTTATTCATCATCATCAGTATTATTATCATTATTGTTATCATAAAACATTTGCAATGAAAAAATGGTAGGAATTTAAAAATAGTCTCTGGTTATGAGGAGAATATGTTAAGTAAACAGTTAATGATACAAATGTTATAACTAATAATTGTGGTGCACCTAAAAGAGATTATTTCTAATGATCATGAAGTGTTGCAATTAGTTGATATTGAATGTGATTTTTTTTTTACAAATATTTTACAACTAAAATAAAGAATTATTTTTATTACAAACAAAAGGTTTAACTCTTTGCAAAATCATTTCTGAATTGATGTGTCTAAAAGTATTTAATATGAAAAACAATGTTAAATTAGCAATTAAATGTTTTAGTAATTACATAATTCATATTATCTATTAATATTATGCAATTAGTTAATATTGAATGTGATAAAAATTATTTTACAACTAATAATAAATATTATTTTTATTGCAAATAAAAAGTTTAATTCTGTTTGCAAATTTATTTTGTAATTGATGTCTAAAAGGGTTAAATGTGAAAAGCAATATAAATAAGCCATTCAATTTATTATTAGTTGCATAATATTATGTATTATTAATATATGTACTATTATGTATTAATTTATGCATATATTCCATTAATAATGCATGTTTATTTTATATTAACTACTTTCACAATATTGTTTTTCTAAAAAATGCATTATCAAAATGTAAGAATTAAAACTTTATATTTGCTGTTTTTATTAAGCATTATTATTATTATTATTATTATTATTATTATTATTATTATTATTATTATTATTATTATTATTATAATAATAATTATTATTATTATTATTATTATTATTTAATAAACCATTACATTTTTTATTAATCATGACTATTGTAGTAATTTGTCCATTATTACTCCTAATATTGAATGTTAAAATTTTGTTTAATATTGAATGTGTTTTTTTAGTCTACAGTGACCTCTATCCAAATATATATTATGTATTTGATTAATACAATTCCTATCATTTTCATATTTCTTATTTCCTAATTAATGTCTGTGAATACCTGAGAATGAGGGAAATTCCTTTTTAAAAAGTTCCCATTAATCTTATTTTTAATTCATTTATCTATCATTGGTGTTTCTGAATATTGGCCTTTTTTAGTTCCTTTGAAAATTAGGATCTAGAGTTTTTTTGGGGTTTTTTTTATTCCTAATTCTTCCTCCCTTCTCCAAAAACCTTGCTGTGCTTGTATCTCAGATATTTACTGCAGATATCCACTGGTTGCATCCATCTTCCATTTTAAAATGCTCCCGTTAATCTTATCTTTAATTCATTAGTGTTTTAATTCATTAGTGTTAATTCCTTTAATTCATTGGTGTATCCAAATAATGCATCAGGAAATCAGGATCTACTTTTTTAGATTTATTCCTTATTCTTCCTCTATTTTCCAAAAATCTTGCTGTGTTTGTATCTCCGATATTTACTGCAGACATTTAGGGGTTGTATCCTTCATCAAAATCCCCAGGTTAAAATTATATTTAGTTTCTTCTTCTTTTTAAAACGGTCACACTAAATCTTACTTTTCATTCATTAAGGTATCAGGTTTTCCAAACAAATGCATCTTTTTTTATTTTTCATTTTCTTTGAAATAGGGTCTAAAGATTTAGGTTTAGGATCTAGATTTAATCCTTATTCTTCCTTCATTTTCCAAAAACCTTGCTGTGCATGACATCACATGTAGAGAATCCAGATCTCTTCTTTTGTTTCCTGGCCTCCATCATAGCCTTCTGATATGGATTTATCAGTCCACGAACACTTGACGCAGTGCACCGATGCGTCGTATCACAGTCATCCAGACCCAATGCAATGTCTTGAAAAGTGCTCTGCTTGTTCAGTAATGGAGGTTACAGTAGTGACGTTCAGCCGCAGTGACTGTTCTTCTGCTCCCTCCCCGCACAGCAGCCGATGACTGACAGGGCCAATCATTAAAACGAAATGACGGCATGGGCTTGATTGGCCTGTCAGTGCGTCTGATGTATAAATGCGTGTGTGACAATGACAAGAGAGGAAGGCATATGCTCTCAGCAGGGGCTACACCACCAAAAATGACCGTCTATGAATGTATGCGTGTGTTTTTGTGAAAACAGACGCACAAAGGAGATGCTCTAGAGCTGTTGTTTTAAACAGACACTCACCCTGCACTTGACTTGCTGACCCAGAGACAAAGGATAAAACAGGGATTGCTGGGTCTGAAATCACCTGAAATAGACAGAAATGTGATGTCTCTCTCTCTCTATCTCTCTCTCACTCTCTCTCTCAGTCTCATTCTCTCTCTGATGAGAGTGTGACGCTCTTTAAAGCAGTTTAGAGCTGCTGCATCCCACCCATAATCTTTCTACCCACACAACTTGCTTTACTTTAGCTTCAGTCTCTCTCTAATTCAAATTCAGTAATTGCTTTTGTAGCACAACTAATGTTATAAATATATTGCCAAAGCATTTATCAAGTTTATATTAAAAAGAACACATATTTAAAAGAAAAAAACATAGTAAACACAGTAAATAGTAGTATTAAAAATTATAAATAATAATAATTAACCCGAATAAACTGTACATTTAACAATCAGCATTTTAGGATAAAACCATCACCACGTTAAAGTTGAATATTTCCAAAAATTCCAGCAAATTTATCCAAAC